TTTCATGTTTTGTTTCAACTATTGTTTGGAGGAGACTGATTTACTTTTTATTGCATAACTCTAATAAAACATCATCTTAAACCATTAGACACTTTTTAAAAATTTAAAAAAAATTTTGGCAGGCAATATTAACTGTATGTATAAAATATTATTTGAAAGTTAACAACAGAAGTGAAATTTATATGTTAGTCTGCTGAACAGTAATTTTTTGTGAAGTTACACATAAACAATAAAATTAAAAACAAGAAAAAGTATTAAAGTCAAATATATATATTTTTAAATATCTTCGCTTACAACAAGGCTGCAAACAACCACTAATTAGTGTTGGAAGTTACTGGAAAAGAAAAAATGAAGATTGTAGAGAAAGATAACGATTGACAGACGACTTAAAAGATTGCAAATTATATGAATCAGCAAAGCATGATGAAGGAAGCGAATTCCAAAGAACTGATGTTTGAGGAAAAAAACTAGACAAATAAGAGTTTTTGGAGCACTTAGGAACAGTAACAGTAAAATATGTTAACCAAATAAAAAAAACAGTAACAGTAATATATGTTAACCAAATAAAAAAAAGAACAAAATCAATTTGATCAAGAAGCAAGTTTTCAGAAAAAAATAATAATATTACTTCAAGATAAAACATAACACATCTCTATTTTTAAATTATTATACAAGAGGTATTCACAGAAATTCAAGAAAAGCACACTTGATTTTATTGGTTATTCCAAAGATTACATAATAAAACTAATAATAAAATTTGGAAACATGAAAGATAAATATTTCTGCCTAGAAAAATGAAAAAAAAGTGTTTTTTTTCTTTTTTTTAGAGAAGATATTTTTTTTCTTCAGGAGTATGTAATGTAAAATAAATTAATAGCATAATAAATAAAAAAAATTTCAAACTTTGTTGCTTTATTTAATTTTATTTACCATCAGTTGTTATTTAAGACTAAACGTTTTTTACCAATTATAGAATTCAATAACCAATATTTTGTTCAGGTTAAAAGCTATATATCAACAAACATGTGCAAATATATGTATTGTCTTTTAAAATTGAAATAAACAACAACATGAACTTGTATTTTTGCAATTTTTCTTGTTTTTACCTTTTTACACTTAGCTCTGCATAAAGGTGTGGTAAGTTATGTATTGTCTTTTAAAATTGAAATAAACAACAACATGAACTTGTATTTTTGCAATTTTTCTTGTTTTTACCTTTTTACACTTAGCTCTGCATAAAGGTGTGGTAAGTTAAGAGTTGTTCATTTTTGTAATCAGTTTACTATATCAAAACACACTTGTGGACATCAGGTTATAAATTTTTTCTTATAGCTTATTATGCTACAATGCTTTGTAATTTTTTATTACTATACATTACCAATGCCAATCTAAATCAGCTCTTGTTTACAATTGCTATTAATTTGAGAGTGATGTAAATTATCTGGGCTAGCTACAACAACCAATAAGCAATATTCTCAAACTTAAAATGTTTTAGTGGTGTATACAATTTTTAAATGGGAATAATAAGTGTAAAAATTCTGAAAAAAATAAAGTATTTTTAAAAAAAAAATTTTCTTGCTAAATGATAGGATTAATGGGAACTTAATTTGAAAAAACTTATACCAAGTTAATAATATTTTATTGATATTACTTGGTAAAATTTTAAAACTGTTAGTTTTAGAATTTTACCAAGTAATATCATAAAAAGCATAGTAAAGTTTTACCATCTGGTTTATAGTTTGTTACAATCGTTGTTATTTTTATATTTTAGAGTTATAAAAAAATAAAGAAAACAAACTAATTTTTTTAAATCTTTATTTTTAAGAAAATAAATATACTATATTGTACAAAAATGAGTAAAAAAATCTTTTTTTTTTTTGTCATTATTATTTGGCAATTACTCTATTTTACTTTTATTATTCAATACGTTTTTTGACATTTGTTTTGATTTAAACTTTGGCGCAAAAGCCTCTCTTTCAAAATTGGCGAATCAGATTGCGCATATCTCTGCCTATTCTGAGCCTGTATAGGGTTTCAAAATATGCTGCCGGTCCTAGATCAGCTACCAGGCAGCGGTAAACCGCATTAGGAATCACAAAGGGCCAGCACCGGCATTCCGGCGGCGGCTTTGCGCATCGCGGTCCGCTGAAAGCATGTTTGCTGGGTAGAAGAACAAAAGTTAATAATGTCAAAAATGAGAAATTTATAAAAATGTTTGTCTTTGATACTATTGAACCATTTAATTACCTCCTCTGTTACTCCACTGGTTAATGCATAAAATATTTTTTTAGCTTGGTTTTTATATTAAATTAAATATGTTTACTTATTCTTTCTATTTTGTTCTTTGCTGGGTTTATGAGACAAACTGTAGGATTGTTTAAAATATTAGGTTTATGATCTTTCAATGTGATGAAACAGTTTGATGATCCGTTTGTATGGATTTTGTTAAAAACATCGTGATTTTTTAATATAATTTTTCCTTCTTTATTATTCTGACCATTAAATTTTGATTGGTTTTTTTATAATTAGTTGTGGTAGCGTTTGTCATCAATTTATTGTATTCATCTTTAGGCAGCTTGTTTAAGTTTGATGTCTTATCTGCATATGCGTAGATATATTTCAATTTTTAAACAGAGGAAACATCATATTTTAATTTATTTTGGAAGTTGCATTGGATCTTCCTAAACTGGATATTTTTAATTATTTCAAATAAATCTTTTTCAAATGCAAACATATCTTTAATATGTTGAGGGCAATGCGGTGTGTTAATGCCATAAAATATAAATTTTTCATTTACATTATTATTATCAATAGTATTGCTCATACCATTAAATGTTTATTCAGGTAGAAAAAAGCTTTCCATTTCATTCTTTTGATCAATATTTCGGTTTTTCTAGTAATCGCAATTTTTATTCTTTATTAGATGGTATAGGTATGTTTTTAGTTTAATAATTCAAGGTAATTTTCTCCATTTGTAAATGACTTGAGAAGAGTGCTCAACAGGAGGAGAAAATATATTTATAGAGTTGTGTTGTATTCTGTTGGATTTAATACAGCTCTTTGTCGGTTTTAGAGTGATCTATATTTCTAAAATAGATCAAAATATATTTAATATTTAAGTGAAAAAAATACGACTTTTTATGGGACTTTGAGTTTCATGGCATAAACCTGATATAGTTTGTTAAGCTATATCCATGCTACCTCTAATCACCCACCAAGAATTTTAAAATTGCTGCCGACGTCTATTGAACAAAGATCATCAAACTCCTCAAGCAAAATAATTTTCGAAAACTCTGCTCCTATTGACCAAGAAGCGCTTATAAAGTCTCGACACAACAACAATATCCAATATCGTCCTAATTTAAACCTACAAACAACTGATCGTAATACAAATAGATGCAAATGAAACATATGGTTTAATCCCTCTTTCAGTAAGAACGTTGTCACCAAATTAGGAAACCTTTTCTTGAATTTAATCGACTCACATTTTTCAGCACACCACAAGCTACACAAGATTTTTAACAGAAACACCGTCAAAATAAGTTACAGCTGCATGCCAAATATCAGTACCAAAATTAAGTCCCACAAACATCACATTTTGCGCAATAAAGATACCGATAATGTGAGAAAATGCAACTGTATAGATAGAGCTACGTGTCCTTTGAAAAATCAATGCTTAACTAAAAATATTGTTTATAAGGCTACTATAACACCACCTAACATCAATCATGCTAGAAAATCTTACATTGGTATTAGCGAAAACTCCTTCAAGATCAGGTTTGCAAACCACATAAAATCATTTAAATTTGCCAGGTATAAAAACGACACTAAACTTTCTAAGGAGATCTGGAAACTTAAGGAAGCAGACATTAAACCGATAATTAAGTGGAGTATTGTTAAAAAATGTCAACCCTAAAATCCATCCTCAAAAAAGTATAATTTTTGCATAAATGAAAAGTATTTCATTTCGACATACAGTAAAGAACTTTTGTTAAATAAAGAAAATGAATTGGTTTCGGGAAGTAGGCGCAGAAAAAAGTTTCTGTTATCAAAATTCGACACCGGTTAAATAAATTCCCGTTTGGCATGAAAACTGACGTTTGATCTAGTTGCAACGCAATTTTGTATTTTTTATAACGGCTTTTATTTTAATGATTTTAAATATATGGCTCAATGATTGCCGAATGGCATGAAACTTAAAGTCCCTTATAAAAGTCGCATTTTTTTCATTTATATATTATATATATATACATATATATATATTTTTTTTCATTTAAATATTATATATATATATATATATATATATATATATATATATATATATACATTTATTTTATGTAGCTATGGTAATTATTGTTAAAAACTATTAAATTTTTAATGTAGCCAAAAAAATCTTTTATATACAGAAATCGTAACTAATTTTTTATACCTGATGATGTCAATTGATATTGATGAAACATATTGTTAAAAAGTTTTAAAATAATTGATATTTATTTGAAAATTATTTATATATATATATATATATATATATATATATATATATATATATATATATATATATATATATATATATATATATATATATATATATATATATATATATATATATATATATATATATATATATATATATATATATATATATATATATATGTATATATATATATTTACGTGTAGAAACAAGGGGGGGGGCGGGGTGGAGGTGGCAATAGCCCTCCCCCCAACTAAAATACGGGGGGGGGGGGGTGAGACAGATATATATATATATATATATATATATATATATATATATATATATATATATATATATATATATATATATAATTTTTTACAATACTATTTTACAAAGATATATATTTTACTATATATAAGTTTATTTTACTATATATAAGTTTCATTTAACAAAAGTATTTACAAATATTTTTATTGATTTTTTAAGAAATTGTGTATCAAAATATTTTATATCTACGATTTAAAAAAAAACAACCTATTCTTTAAAGGATATTGCATTGATTTATTAAAGCGTCTCTCAGAAAGACTAAATATCACATATAGCTTACATTTAGTTGATGATGGAAACTTTGGTTCACTAACTCGAGTAAGATTTTGTTTTCAGGTTTAACTTGTTTTTAGTAATATTTTTTTCAAGGTTTAATATGTTTTTCGTAATTTTTTTTTGAAATTAACTAGAATTTTGAAGTGTTGTTTTTAAAGTGTCATTTGAAATACATTTAATATAATAATAATTGATATATGCATGTCAGCGTTATAACGCTGAAACGACAACGAAGAAATAAATTGATTTGGAGTAAAGCTTAGGGTTGGCTAGTTAAAACTATTTCGTTTAATCCAAATGAACAGGCTAATTGTGCATTAACGTTAATAAACAAATATACTGGCTAAATGTGATTTAACGTTAATACAGAAATAAAATAACTATTTGTGTAAATTTATTTTGTTGCTACATTTAAAGCTTCGCTTCAAATTTTTTTCACAACTAAAATTTTCCAACTTCTCTTTCGTAAGTCAAATGAAATTTTTGTTTTAGCATCTTTTATTTTTTTGATAGAGTTTACTTATAGGACACAATTCAAGCTAGACATAATAGCTCGCGCAAAAATTTCATTAACTTTTTGCAATTCATTTTTAATAAAGATTTTATAGTCGTCAAAAAAGAATTTAACTTAACCTGGTCTTAGTTTAGCCTGATCATTAACAAGCCAAAAATATGAAACTTTGGTATTTTAAAGAAAACAATTTTGGTTGATTAAACTTCTAAGCATTTTATCAAGTTCAATTAATCATTATTTATACACACAATGTGTTTAAGTTTAATAAGACAACATATTAATTAAATTTTTAACTCTTTTTCCTATCACGAAAATTTGTACCAACATACCCGGTGGTAAATGAATTAGCGATTAGCGAGCAACTAGCTAGCAATTTTCTAGCGATTCTTTTTCTTATTTTTTTTTTTCCTAAATATCTTTAACATCTTTAAAAATTCGATTTTTAGTGTAGAGTTTATTATAATTTTGAGGATAATTTAACTTTAAACATTGCGATATTGTAGCAATGTGTCACTAGCTACATATTGTAGCTTTGTAGCTAGCTACAAAATATCTACAAATCTATAGCTGGTTAATAGCTACATATCAAAATTTTTTAAACAATGACTTTATTACGATATGGCGCTAACTACAATAGCCTGTGGCCCTTTAGCTTAATAAGCTAGCTGTCCTCTAAGCTAAATGTCTGTCTTTATCTTTACAAATATTGATAGCTTTTCGCTAACTTAAAAAAGCTAGCGATCCTCGTGGCCAAATCGCTGTCTTTATCGTTACGATTATAGCTAGCTATTCGCTAGCCGATTTCCCACCGGGTAGGTTTTAGACTTATAGAAGACGAACTGGTCATACATATTTTACATGTCATGTATTAAACTTGGGGAACTTTGAAAAGCCAGATGAGAACTTTGGTTTTAGCGCTATTGCATTTTACAATCTACCGGAACAAATATGTTTCTGCGGCTTTACATTGATGTTAGAAAATAACAATGAATATTGCGTAGTTATAGGGGTTTTTTATTGTTTGTTTTCTAGTTTTTATAAAAAATGTAGATTTAATTCAAATAAGGTTTTTAAAATTTCGAAATAATAAAAAGAAAGATGTTTTAGAGTAGGAAATAAATTAGGTTTTTTTTTATTCGTACATTTTGTTTAACTTTTTACAAATGCAGTCTAGCACCCCCGTCATTAAAAATGTTTGACAATCATTTTTTTGCATGATTCTTTTACCAAAGTATTCTCTTCTGAATTCCATTTTAAGCCAAGCAAAATATCGTCTAACGATCTGCTAGATTTATAACGATTGAGCGATATTTAAGCATTGTAAGTAGTAACAAAACGATTTTTTTTCACACATTGTTTTCTTTTTCTTTTACGTCCTAAAAAAATTTTAATTTTTGTATTGGACCTATTATTTATGATAATAATTTAACTTATAACGTTGCGATTTTGTTACGAAATGTCGCAATCTAGATATCGCAGCTTCGTAGCTAACAATATTACAACAATATAGCAATATTATACAACAATATTATAACAATATAGCTACAAATCGTAGCATTATAGTTAGCTACAACATAACGGCAAATCTGTTGCTAGTGGATAGCTGCATATTGCATCTGTGCAGCTAGCGACATTATTACGATATATTGATAGCTACAGATTGTAGATATGTAGTTAACTAAAACATAACGATAGATCTAAAACTAATTAATGGCTACATTTGTTTAGATTATGATTATCGTTATGTTTTGTTGCATTTTAGCTAGCGATGTTGCTACAATGTATTAGTAGCTACATGTCCTAGCTTTGTCGCCTTCTTTTACAAAATGTATGTTTAAGCCCCCCCCCCCCCCTCAATTCACAAACCGTGTTGTAGACCCTGTTCGGTCTATAGTTTGACGTTAGTACTTATTAAAGTACTAACGTCAAACTATAGACCGAACAATTTTATTATACTTATAATCGAATTGTCCAACGCTTTAGAGTTTTTGCGAAGTTGCCCCAAAGTATGCGTGCTAGCTGAAAAAGACCTTTAGAAACTCATTGCCTCAATTAATGTCTGCTTTGATCGTACATTTATCTGGCGGAAAATCATATTTGAAGCATTTTATTAATCAAACTAATTATTTTACTAATCAAAAAAATCAAAGCAATTAAAAAATGAAGAATTCTAAATACCTCTATTATGTGTGTGTTGGCATCTGTTAAATCAAACTCCATAGTTGCAGAACTGTAAAAAGATTTAAACACTTATTGGACTGACTTGATTTCCAACTAACTTGTTTTAGTTTAAACTTATTTTAATTAATTTACGATTTGCTTATGTTTGTAAAAAAGTGACTATAAATACTTTTTAGTAACAAGTTGTTTCCCTGATATAACATCCTCCACCTTTAAATGGTTTAAACTTTGCTTAGATTACATCAGAAGCAAATATTTCTGCTGCAAATAGAATTAAAATATAAAAAAAAAAGGAAAAAAGAATAAGAAAAAGTAGAAGAACAAGAAGAGGAAGAAGAAAAAGCAAAACAAAAGAAGAAGAAGAAGAAGAAGAAGAAGAAGCAAACAAGAAAAAGAAAAAAAAAGAAGAAGAAGAAGAAGAGGGAGCAGAACAAGAAAAAAAAGAAGTAGAACAAGAAGAAGAAGAATTCTACTCTGTGCACGATGCAAATTTACTTGAAGAACAAAAGGAGTTTGTTCTCCAAGTAAATTTGCATTGTATACAAAATATTTAAGAGCAAACTTCTATTTAAAATTCGTAATTCGTATAAATTCGTAAAATAATCTAATCTAATCACTATATATAAAAATAACTTAAAAAAATTATGAAAAATATTAAAAGAAATAACAGGAAAACAAAAAACCTGCTCTAATATCTAACTTAAAAAAGTTAATTAGAAAGAAAAGAAACCTCTGGAGAAAATGTTTAGATAATCTTTTCTTAAATAAAGGAAATGTATTAGAATACAAATCAATTAGAAATAAAGTAAAAAAAGAAATTAGGAACCAAATTAAATTATATGAAACTACCATCGCCTTAAACGTTAAAAAAAACTCAAAAGCAATTTATGCATATATAAACAAAAAATCAGAAGTTAAAGAAGGATTTAACGCATTAAATGTAAAAGGCAAACTTGAAACAAATTATTTATCAATAGCACATTCCTTAAATAACTATAATATGGTATATTGTCACCAATGAAATTAATGACAATATACCATTCTTTAAAAATAGGACAAACATTATTTGTGAGGACCCTTCATTTTCACCGAACATTGTTTCTATAATCCTGAAGTCACAAAATCCAAATAAATGTACAAGAGTAGATGGAATTCACCCACTTCCTTTAAAATGATGCGCAGATGCGTTCTCCCTTCCTTTATCACTTATTTTTAATAAATCGTATGACAGGAATAATTCCATCGATGTGGTTAAATGCTAATCTAACACCATTATTTAAAAGTAGAGATAAATCGGAACCATCGAGTTATTGACCAGTAACACTTACTTCAGTTATAAGTAAAGTAATGGAACGTAGCTTAAAAGCTACGTTTATGTCGTACTTAGAAAATAACAATCTCTTGACTAAGGAACAGCATGGATTTTCTAAAAAAAAAAACTGTTGTACAAACCTTATATAATCTACGGATCTAATAACTCAAGCAATGGAAGATAATTTACCAGTAGATATTGTTTTCCTTGATATGAAAAAAGCTTTCGACTCAGTGCCTCACAACAGATTGTATCTTAAACTAAAAAGTTATGGTTTTAACTATAAAACAGTTAAATGGTGCAAATATTTCGTATGTAACAGAGTGTAACGAGTTGTCTGCAACGGCGACTTTTCAAATTGTTCTCCAGTTACAAGTGGAGTACCGCAAGGATTATATAAACGACTTACCGAATGAGTTATCAACAAACTGTAAAATGTATGCAGATGATATTAAACTAATTAACATAATTAGATCATCTTCTGGTATAGAAAAGACTCAAACAGATCTAAACAAATTAATGACATGGTCACAATTATGGCTATTAAAATTTAATGTCAACAAATGTAAACGCATGCATATAGGTTAAAAAAAATACTAAACATATATACACAATGTATGGTTCAGCGTTAAATAGAGTTAAGCTACCAGAAACCAAAATTGAAAAAGATTTAGGAGTTATGATTTCAAACAACTTAAAATGGTCTAGTCAAGTTAATTATGTGTCTGGTAAAGCTAATAAAATGTTAGGAATAATAAAACATTCATTTAAAAAAACTTAGACATAAACGCATCTAAATTATTGTACACCTCTCTTGTAAGACCGTATCTAGACTACGCAAATTCAGGGTATCCTTACTTAGAACAAGATTAAAAAAAAAATTGAATCGATACAACGTAAAGCAACACGAATAAAATGTCTTCAAGGGAAAAACTATGAAAGTAGACTAACCTACTTTAAATTAACGACTCTTGAAAAAAGACGCGAACGTAATGACCTAATCAAATTTTATAAAATAGTAAAAAAAATAGATAA